GATTTTCAGCCTAACCATATAAATAAATCTGGGGTAAATCTACACTCCTGAAACTTAACAGAATCAGATCTCACTAACACTGTCAGATATTTTACTTGAGTTAAGGATACTGGACATATTTATTTCTTGGCTATATTCATAGAAAGAAATATATGAACACAGGTCCAACGCATCCATGAACAGTGAGGCCTTAACCAAAGCGGTATCTTTCTTTCTCAGGTTGTTGTAATTTAAAATGATTTAGGTACAAAATGATGAAAATTTCCAGTGAATCAAGTAAAAAATGGTTTATGCTGTGAACATGAAGTGATTCAAAAGTAAATATGAAAATCATCTCTTTAAGAAGGTGGTAATCAGGGTAAAATATTTAAAGGGGATCATCTGGTTTCTTACTCTTTGTTTTGTAGCTGAATGTTGTAAAGGTGAAGGTGTGTGGATTTCTTTTTCACCTGTTATCAGACCATTACAATCATGTGAAGTATGCAAGCAGAGTCTCTTTAACTCCGATTGTCTTATAAAACAAGCCGGATGCAGCTCAAAGTGGACACAGCTGCTGAACTGTTATTAGCGAAAGAACCAAGAGAGGACCACAGCTGAGTTATCAAAGTTGTAATTTGGTCTCTTTAAGGCAGGTGAAACAAACCAGTGCTGGAGTCCATGTGACAGAAAACTGACCAGCTGTAACCAAAGCTGCAGTCAGCTGATCTGTGGTCGTATCTTTAAACAACTGTGTCACAGTAAAACAAAACAGTTGGTTTATGTGTTTCCCATTTGAGCTGCTGATTGGCACTTAAAGTTGCAGGACAGCATCACCTTTACTGTGATCTTTAGTGCTCTGATAAGCTCAAGAACATATGGAAGTTACATCTTTCCTTTTAGAAAACACACAGTACAAAGTGAGCATGATTTCATGGTGACTTTTTCCTTTCTGTGTTGTTTTTGGAGGCAGCAGTGTTGATAACAGCACATGAAACTGAGACTTGATGCTCTGCTTTGTCGCCTTCACGCTTTACTGTTTGTTCCAAAAGACCAAAAAAATAAATAAAGGACATGGGTAATAAAATAACCAGAGTTTGTTTTTCTCTTCTTTGTCACTTCCACTCAGAAACTGTTTGTTGCCATCAGCTGTTTCCAGGTGTTTCCAGCTGTTTCCAGGTCCATTTCTCTTTCAGTTCTAAGATTATAAGATCAAAAGCACATTTCTTTCATGTCAGTCCGTCCTTGATGCATATATGTGTCGTACTGTTTCACAATGTGTGCCCAATGGACCTTCACAAATACGTTGTCTGATTTGCTCCATCATCAAACTTTGTCTTGAGGTTCAGCTGCTCAGGAGGATGAGATCAAGAAGTGTGACAAAAGGGTCATTGCAAATATTGCAAAGTCAATCCAAACACCAGCAACTGTGAGAAATGTGATGCGCTTCACACAGGAAAGGAATGTCTTTCAATGTCACCGTTTGTCTTAGGCTAAACTCGTGAAACAGCCACGTGTGTCACACCTTTTAATAGTTTCATAAGCTTTTCATGCCTATGTTTCTTTAATTATGCCTTGAATTAAGTGGAGATATCATCTGAAATTCAGGAGCGGGAACACTCCTCCTTCACGCCCCTTCGGACCTCAGACTATAAATGCCCCCTTCTCCAATACCCGCTGTTCTCTGGCGAACTTTCTAAGAGCTTAAAATCCTACTCACCCTTTCGGCTCATTACCATGGATTCCCTGTCGCTCAGCCCATTGAACGAAGACCTCATTCTTTCTCCGCCTGAATTTCCCCTGGCAGTCCTGGATCCGCAGCCTGTATTTCCAAGCGGGGCAGCCGTGGAAAGTCCGATTACCACCGGCCCGTCCGGGGAGCGCTCCAGCGGCCATTCTCGCCGCTCGGCTGTATCCATTGCTCCGAACTCCTCTCTCCGCTCGCTTCAGCAATACAACGGCTCTGGTTGCTCTTCATCCCAGCGAAACTACGACCTCCGAACCGCTATTAGAGGTCGACCCACCTCCAGCAAAAGTTCAAAGCGGAGCTCCACACCGGATCACTCTGAGACATGTCTCCAGCACTGCGGAGCACCCCGGAAATCAAAACCATCTCAGTGTCCAACTCCGAGGAAACGCCGCTGTTCCCACGCCCGGGTGAGGTCTCCCGAAGATTCTTTACCGTCGAAGGTCTCGGACTGGACCATTGCCTGTCTTCAACGAGTTTTGAAAGAGAGAGGCATTTGCTTTCGCCGGTTCATGGACAAAAGAATTTCTGTGGCTGCAATATGACGAGCTAAATAACCAGGGCTGCACATAAGTGGTCCGCAGGTGCGCATTCACTGTCAAAATAAAAAACACGCACAAGGGTTAGGGTTAAATTTAAAAACTGTACTTTTGAGTTAAAATATATATTTATAATTTTAATAAATGACAAATTAAAAAGACATGAACATTTTTTTGTATCGAAAAAATATTGAACCGTGACACCAAAGTATCGAACCGTGAATTTTGTGTATCGTTGCACCCCTAATATATATATATATATATATATATACATATATATACGTACATGCATACATAAGCTGGGGTCCTCTACCGTCTGTATCTGGAAGTCCCACAGGATCTTAGCTCGGTCATTCCCCATCACCCTTGGGGGCATCTCCCATTTTGACCTCAGGACTTCCAGGTAATATTTGCCACAGATGTTCCTGTACACTATACAGGCAAGGGATACATGAAACACCACTTGGTTATGGCGTTCCATGTATCCCTTGCCTGCTAGCATCTTGCACCCTGCTGTTATGTGCTGGATTGTCTCAAACCCTTGAGGAGTTTGCCCCCTCACATATGCTAATGTGCCACAAACAGGACTTTAATATCACCAACCATTCCCATGTTATTACGGTGTATCCATATAAATGGTTCACCCTGTATATGTCTATGAAGTAATTTTAAGATGAGCTACTAAACAACAGTTACCCAGTGTACTTCATAAAACTAGTGCCTATCGCACTTTGGTAATATAATGTAGATATAATATGTCCAAAATTAAATTCATTGTATTAATAAATGATATGTATTTAATCCATTATATCTCACTGTGAGGCAGTTGTCATCGCCCATTTAAACATTGAGGAGAGTTCATGTTAAAGTTTCAACATTAACTTTTAACCCATGAACTTCCCAAGAGACATCTACTGAACATCCTGATGCAGTCATGTGACAAGTGAGTGTAAACATCGGCTTGTTCCAGCTGTGGGAGTTCACAGCAGCACTGAGCTCAGCCTTTTAACATCCAGGATCTGTCAAGGCAGGGTGGCCAGTGTGTTTGCATAGCGGATGAAAAAGTAGGAACGTGAGAACAAAAAGTGAGCTGTTTATTTGGCTGATAGGAAAAAAAAACACAAAACAAATACAAGGGAAACTGGGGCATAACTAAACAAGAAACTAAATTGGGGAAAGCTAACACTAACTACAAAAACTATGACATGAGAACATGAACATGAGCAGGAGCATGAAAAACTCTAAGACCTGACATGACATGAAGAAATACAAACAGATGAACCGACACTGAACAAACGGAGCCAGAGGACTTCAATACATAGGAGAGCAGTGAAGGAAGTGGAAACACCTGGGGAAAAACAGCTGACACAAATGAATATGGTTGTGTCCAAATTCATGGGCTGCATCCTCCTGAGGACCCGGCCTTCGCGGTCTACGTGGGCCGGGTCCTCAGAAGGTCGGGTAGGCCGGAAGTAAACTGCTGTGAAATTGGACGGTCTAGCCTTCTGATTAGCGTCACCGCTGTCTCGGTGGAGTTTAATAAACTCAGCCGTCTGCTCCTTGCTATCTAAAATATAACCAGACACTGGCGTAAATTCTCGACTGTCTCATACTTCTGTTTAGTCAGTTTTCTGTTTGACGTTTAGTCAGCTGTGTAAAAACCAAGGAGGAACCCACCCGGGGGGTTAATAAAGTTTTATTTTATCTAATCTAATAACTTTAATCTCAGCCAAACCGATTTACTCACGAACAAACAAAACACTGAAAAAAGCCCAACAATAACATTTTTAGGTTGTCTAAGTAACTTATATATCACGTTTAACCTGAGTAGCGAAAGTCCGCGGTGATCTGAAAATGATGTGCCGGGAGTTGTGCCGTTCTCGGCCGCATCAGTAACCCTCGAGCTCCCGGCTAGCTATCGAGCTGGTGGGTAGCAGACGTCTCCGAAAACGTCGAAGCACTTTTGCAAATATGCGATATCTTGATAAACCGAGCAGATATTTGATGTTTACACAACTACTTTCTCGCCTGAAAATATGTTAAAAGTTTATTTTGTGACCCAGAAAGATTAGTAAGCGTAATCTTAAAACTTAGTAGCGGCCGCCATTATTGGAAACTGGATTTTGGCTATGAATTCTGGGATGTGGTAGGCCACGAAGGACACACCCGACCCATCCTTCAAATTCGGGGAAAAGGAGGACGCATTTGTCGGCTGCATTCGGAGGAGTCTACGAATTTGGACAGCCTTCGGCGCGTCGCTGTGACGTAATCGGTCTACAAATGCGGCCTCAGGAGGATGCAGCCCATGAATTTGGACACGACCTATTATGCCACAGGGGAAGCAAAACTAAACACACTGAACAGGGAAACCAGACCTTTAAAATAAAACAAGAAACCTGGAGAGACACGACATGAACTGGGACACGCAAGCTTGAGACAAGAGACAGAAAGAAGGAGAAGGACACAGAGGAGAGAGACACAAGGGGAACCTTTATAGACAAGGAGATAACACATGAAAAAAAGGAAAAAGACTCATAAACAACGAGACATGGACAACAACATAAACTAGACTAAACTTCAACTAAGACGAGCTAATAATAACCCCAGAACTTAACATTATCTCATAAGAGAAAAAAAACCCCACAATAACTCAAAATGCTGGGTCAAGGACGCAGGCCCAACACAGGATCTGGATTAGGACCAATCAGAAGTCAAGGATGATCATGGAGGTCAATAACCTGTCGGTCAGTCTGAGTCACCGTGGAAACCACCTGAGAAGATAAACCAGACCCCACTGTGACTGCTGAACAACCCTTCATCCTCTCTGTGGTGTCACTTCCTTCTCTTAAATGTTTATCGTTGGTATTGAGATGGACATTTTCCTTAAGCCAGGGCTTTTCACTCACTTGGCAGTACATTAAATTTATTACACGAAGACAGTTGGAAACAATCTCATTGGTAGGAACTCAGAGAATATCTTTCTCTTAAATTGAATGGAGACATTTCTCTGTGGGAAACATGTTTGCTACACCACTAACAATCAGAACTTTGTATACAAACACTTCTCAGCACTATTAAAACAGCAGACTGTGTCTCACCTAATGAGTCCAGGCCATGCTGATGAAGGCTTCACCTTCATATTTGGACCTGGCAGATCTGCGTCTGCGAGCACCTGCAGGACAAGTCTAAAGACAACGAGAGACAAAGTCCAGACTTTAGAAGATCAACACTGATCCTTTCATTCAGAACTGAATCTGCTGAGAACATTTGAGCTTTTGTGTCAGAATAGAAACAAGAATAAGTGAAAATAATCTGTTTAATGATCGTAACAGAAGAGAGATACATTTGATTGTGTGTGATGTGTTTGGTAACAAAGCTGTACCGGGACACAGTTGTTCTGTTTGGGGCACAGGTGCAGTTCGCAGTGCAGGTAGACTTCACCAGAGCTACCAGTGAACTGGAACATACTGAAGGAGAAGTAGTTGGAGGTTCCCAGTCCGTTGTCCTCCACCTGCACCGTCTGGTCAGCAGGGTTGGCACAGCTGCTCACAGACAGGAAAACACACTTTGTTCAGGAGTCCATGAGAGAGATCAAAACCACATGACTCTCTGAGTCTGTCTCACCCGTTTATGATCAGGTCGTATCTCGGAGTGCTGTTAGTTGATGGCTGGTCAGTTGCCCAGCAGGAGTCAGTCACCACGACGACCACGTCTCCATCCAGCCCATCAGTCTTCAGCTCCACCCTGATCTTCTGGATCAGCTGCACTTCAGTGCTGGACTGCACAGCTTGTGTGTGTCCAACATCAGTGGTTGCACACATGGTGAGAGTGTAATCCCAAACTCCAGATGTGATGTGCTGGATCACAGAGCTGCAGAACACAAACACACTTCAGGTTTCTCTGACCCACAAACCTCATGAGAAGCTTCGCATCTTAAAGTAACTCAACCACACACCTGTCTCTGATCCTGAAGGTGGCAGTCTTGATGTCCGCTTGAGTTTGGACGCAGGAGAAGTCGATGTAGACTTGGTCATGACCATTGATGATGTCAGAGGAGCTGTTCTGGGTCATGATGGTGTTTTTGTAGATCACTTGGCTGTTGTTGGTCTGCAGAGTCACACAATCAGATGTTGTTACTGACTTTTAACATCTGACAATTCACTTTATTAATCCCAAAATGCACTGAATCAGTTTTATTCAATTAGAAAAAGTGAATGTAAATCATGCTCTGTTTGCTTTATTTGCACAGACACATGAAGCCACGTTAACTTTATTTTCAGTCTCTTTACAGTGATTTTAATCTGAGAACATCAACACTTTGAAGATGATGGACCTCTAACTCAGACGTATGAAGGTAAGTAAGTTAAGTTAAGAAAGTGCCCTTGTATTTTTGGTCCAGTGTTTATGACATCTTATCAGTGATTATAATCACAGATTTCATCAGAAACAATCTGCTAAATAGACACGTCAAAAACATCAAACTCATTCACTTTGTTCTTAAAAGCAACAACAGCAGCTTTAGTCTCCTTTCTGTCTCTGCCTTTGACCGCTCGTGTCACGCAGACAAGTCGAGCACATCAAATGAAGTCACTTTATTTTAACACAGCACAAACATTAGAGAGTTTCTTCCTGTACTGAATCAAACTCCTACTCTGATGTTTCTGTGTATGAACTTCACATATCATCAACATGATGAAAAGCCACAGAGCTCAGAGGTGAAGCTGATCTCACAGAAAGATCCCAAACTGCAGCAGAGCAGGAGAAGCTCAGCAGATGCTGGAAGATGTTTGGCTGCTTGTAGAAGGTAAAGAGGAGGAGATGGAACCCACCGTGACCACCGTCCCACAGCTGTTGCTGCTGTTGAAGCCGAAGGTCACCATGTGGGTGAGCTCGTCCACCTGACCCCTGCACGTCGGGTCGTTGAGGTGTAAGGCAGAGTAGTTGATGCCTTTGTCCGCCAGGAGACAACCGACCAGAGTGACTGAAGCAGAGTCCTGCATGCAGACCGTTGGATCACCTGAACATCACAATATCAGTCAGAAAAATCACAGAAGTTTTCCTCCATTATTCAGCCCTGTTGTCATGGTGATGTCACAGCTGTCGTACCCAAAGAGTTGTTTGCTTGGTACTTGGAGGCAAAAATGGCCCGACAGACGCAGCGAGTGTCACCACTGACCGTCTTCTCACCACAGAACTCGCTGCAGGTCCTGTCCTGACAGAAGGCCTCAGAGGCTACAGAGGAACACACTGATGTATTATCCTGAAAACATGGGAGCTCTAAAACTCCAGAGTTCAGGTTTTAACAAAGGAGAGCTTATTAATGTCTTATTAAGGTCTTACAGCAGCCGGTCTTTGATGTCCAGCCATCCAGAGTGTGGTTGTGTTGACTGCAGGCTCTGGCGTAGGCCTTCAGGAACTGACAGTTGAGTCCGTCCACTGCAGGATATTTACACAAAGTGTCGGTGCAGGCGGTTATGTAGGGCTCTGGGTCAATGTCAGTGTTACAGGAGGAGAAGGGCGCCTCCTTCAGGAGATTACAGCTGTACCACAGATATAAGAAGAAGTTGAAGATAATAAAATGATCATCTGTAATCAGATGTGTTTATCTTCTATCTATGCTGCAGTTATATGTGATGTACCACAGAGATCAAGGTACAACACAGATGTTTCCTGCTGTGTGGATCTGCTCACCGTTCAGTCACACTGGTGCAGTTGATCGTGGTGTCAGCAGGCTCACTGTACTGCATCTCACAGCTAGGGGGCGACAAACAACAAAGTTCAGGCTCATTCATACAAACAGAATATCTGCAACATCAGCAGCAGCAGCAGCATTTAGAGGGACTCGGAGCTTGTGATGAGGTCTTACCTGGTGGAGCTGTACTCAGAGAGTCTCAGGTCACTCAGAGAGCTGCTGGAGTTTCCACACAGACCCTCCACAGATGAACCAGCAGGTCCTGCAGAGGATCAGGACAGAATGAGTCAGATCAGCATCAATATTCAAACTGGACACACACAACAGCTCAATAAATAACAGCACAGTTTACAGTTTATGTTACATGAATTAAACTTTATCTTCTGCACCTTCTAAGAGGATCTGTGCGGTGTAGCCATCAAAGAAGACAGAGATGTTGAGGTTGGAGAGTTCGGCAGTGACTCCAGTTTGGTCCTTAGAGAGCTGCACACCATGAACCAGCTGAGGTGAGCTGCTGAGGGTCAGTGTGGAGTCGTCCAGCTGCATCACAGCAGAGACAAAGTGGAGGAAACACTGAGTGAAACATGTCAAACACACAAACAGGCTGATTTCACAGCAACAACCACTGAGTCCAGCAGCTCTGAAAGAACTGCTTCTAACATCCCTGAGAAGAAAGATGCGAGGAGACACAGCAGAGGATGAGGGAGGACTTTGGATCAGACTCCACTCTGACACATGAACTGTGGCTGTAGGTCGCTTACCTGAACTCTCCCACCTTGTTCCAGGTGAATGTAATGCCTGTCCACACGCAGCGTCACACTGTCCAAAAAGCTCACATCTTTACGACGTCTGTCCCTGAAGTTCCCCAGAACAAGGAAGTCTGGGAGTGACGGAGTCGAGAACAGAGAGTACGCACACCGATCCTGGATGGAGTTAATCTGGCCATGGACGTCGATGATAGTGGGGCCGGTAAAAGTGCAGGTGGAGGCCAACATGGTGTCCAATGTGCAGCTGACAAATGCAGAAAATTCCGCTTCATTCAACTTTATGTTCACCAATTCACAACAGCAGTCACCTCAATGTAAATATTAGAGAGAAAATGCAACAATCATATGACCCCCTGTGTGCAACCACTTTGGCAACTGTGGGAATGAAAAATGGTCAGGAAGAAACTCTTGTGGATTTTTTGGGATGACACGTATACCTATATACACGATATATCGATCTGCACTGAGTAAATATCCTATAAGACTCTTAACCAAAAGATGTTTTGCTCTCTCCCCAGATTATTGAGCCGGTACAGTAACAGGGCAGGTAGAGACGAACAACTCCATTTCCAGGTCCGATAACTAACTCCCCCCACACAGCACACATTCTACATTTGTTATGCAGCATAACCAAAGTATGTCTTTTAAAGAAACAAATAGTGAACACATCACAATAACATCAACTTAAGGATCATTATAATACTATATAATCATACACACACACATACACTATATACTTAGACTGAAGTGTTTATGTAGAAAAGTCAGTGTTTGCATGGACTACATTACCAAGCAGCCTTTGTGCAAGTTGTGGGATTCGCTCCTGAGCTGGAGAGCCTGACTTAGTTACTGGGCTGATGATGCTGGAGAGAGCTGCTGGGAACCAAAGCGAATAATCCATCCTATTTATTATGAATGGTGTGCATCACATAAACATGAGTTCATGTTCCATGTTTAAGATGCTGCACCCTACTACTTTTGTGCATATTGGTTCTAGCTCGTTGTATATAGTGTATTACCTTTTTTATTTTGTATTTCTTTACTTAATATTCTTGGTATACTTGGGCTGGTTTCAGTCTTTATGCAAATGTACTGTTTATAAGATTGGAGAAACCTGCAGTCAGCTGAGACTGAAGAAGTCACTTGGAGGAGTGATGAAACGTTTCTGCCACTGAAAATGCTATGTCCAGATGAACAGAATTAGCATTTGGAGATTCTTGGTATACTGTTTGTGTTTATCTATCTATACCTACCTGCCTACCCTACCCTACCTTTGGAATATGTGCTAATTAGTGATAGATTCAGGCATTGTTCCTTTAGTGTTCCTGGTCAATTGACCGGTCTGTTTTAACAACTCTTAAATTAGCATATCAAACATTTTTCACCGTGACATTCAGTTCAGTGGGTTTTTCAGTGGTTGTTTAGTCAACTGGGTGGGGAAATGAATGGATTCCCATTCATTTCCTATGGCAGTCACTTTTGATCGGGAACACCACAGATGTAACAAGATTGATTAAAACACTCAAAATTCAATGAACGAGGTAATCATCACTTTTATATGTTAAAGTTCATAGTGTGGAAGAAATTATTGTCGTTTATTATTGTTCGATACATATGCGTACCGAACCGAAAGCACTGTATCGAACGGTTCAATATCGATACGAATATCGTTGCACCCCTAATTATATATATATATATATATATATATATATATATATATATATATATATATATATACATATATATATATATATATATATATATGTGTGTGTGTATAATGTGAAAAAAAATCCATGAATCCACATGGTATGATTTGTAAAGAATTTATTCGTAAATTAGGGTGGAAAATAAGTATTTGGTCACCTCAAACAAGGAAAATCTCTGGCACTCACAGACCTGTAACGTCTTCTGTAAGAAGTTTTTCTGTCCCCCACTCGTTACCTGTATGAATGGCACCTGTTTGAACTCATCATCTGTATAAAAGACACCTGTCCACAGCCTCAAACAGTCAGACTCCAAACTCCGCCATGGCCAAGACCAAAGAGCTTTCGAAGGACACCAGGAAAAGTATTGTAGACCTGCACCAGACTGGGAAGAGTGAATCTACAATAGGCAAGCAGCTTGGTGTGAAAAAATCAACTGTGGGAGCAATCATCAGAAAATGGAAGACATACAAGACCACTGATAATCTCCCTCGATCTGGGGCTCCACGCAAGATCTCATCCCGTGGGGTCACAATGATCATGAGAACGGTGAGCAAAGATCCCAGAACCACATGGGGGGACCTGGTGAATGACCTGCAGAGAGCTGGGACCAAAGTAACAAAGGTCACCATCAGTAACACACTACAACGGCAGGGAATCAAATCCCGCAGTGCCAGACGTGTTCCGCTGCTGAAGCCAGTGCATGTCCAGGCCCGTCTGAAGTTTGCCAGAGAGCACATGGATGATACAGCAGAGGATTGGGAGAATGTCATGTGGTCAGATGAAACCAAAGTAGAACTTTTTGGTATAAACTCAACTCGTCGTGTTTGGAGGACGAAGAATACTGAGTTGCATCCCAAGAACACCATACCTACTGTGAAGCATGGGGGTGGAAACATCATGCTATGGGGCTGTTTTTCTGCCAAGGGGACAGGACGACTGATCCGTGTTAAGGACAGAATGAATGGGGCCATGTATCGTGAGATTTTGAGCCAAAACCTCCTTCCATCAGTGAGAACTTTGAAGATGAAACGAGGCTGGGTCTTCCAACATGACAATGATCCAAAACACACCGCCCGGGCAACAAAGGAGTGGCTCCGTAAGAAGCATTTGAAAGTCCTGGAGTGGCCTAGCCAGTCTCCAGACCTCAACCCCATAGAAAATCTGTGGCGGGAGTTGAAAGTCCGTGTTGCTCGGCGACAGCCCCAAAACATCACTGCTCTCGAGAAGATCTGCATGGAGGAATGGGCCAAAATACCAGCTACTGTGTGTGCAAACCTGGTAAAGACCTATAGTAAACGTTTGACCTCTGTTATTGCCAACAAAGGTTATGTTGGGCTGAGTCATCAGTGACTTCTGCAACTCATTCTATTCGATTCATAAGATCCTGATTTTATCAATCCCTGATTCAAATTGATTCGATTCAATTTTGACTCAGACAGTCAGAAATAGTTCTGTGAGCATCACAGCAGATGTGTCAAAGTAACTGAGAATAAAACTCAGAAAAACATGAAGGAGATTTTCCTGGCCTGGCTTTTTACAGCAGATGACCTTAAAAATATTCTGCAGTAGATCAAAAACTGAAGAAAACCACGAATCAACATTCACATGGTTTTCAGCACCTGATGTTGCTGCAGTGGAGCAGATTGATTTGCTATGTGTTGTCTTGCTGTTCATATGATTCTGTTTATTAAACTCTGTCATCACAGCGTTTTTTTGAAATACAAAGAGGATATATTTACATGCCGTTGCCTTGACAGCGCTCCAGCGCACCACAGCTGGAGGTGTTGAGGACTGCGGTCTCATTACAGGTGAAGCTGAAACAGGTTTGTGGATCAGAGCTGATCACTGTACCAGGTCGATACATCTGACCTGAGGATTGAAGGAGAGTTTATTTTAGTTTAAACACTAACAGATCACCTTTACGTCGTGTTTTTTTAAAAACTCATAAATATTGTGTTTTACATCTGATTGGTCCAATGGCTTTATGACATCCTCCACACTATGCTGACCCCCTGAATGGCCCACTGAATGAGCAAATCAAAGACCCATTTTTAGGACCTACTGAACAACCCACTGAGCTGAATTTGGTTGTGAAAAAATGTTTCTTATGTTAATTTAAGAGCTGTTAAAGTAACACTACAGTAAGGGGTGCACACAACAGAGGGTTATTAACAACTGTGAGCACCAACATCTCTGTAACATTCATATAGTTCAATTTTACAGAATCCCAAAGTCAAGTTTGGAGCTTTAGATTCACTTACCTGAGTGTCTGCATCCACTGATATCTAAGAAACCTCGAGATAAGGAAGTAAGATTCACTGTATCAACTGTGGTTCGACCAACCTGAAGCTCATACACCTTGACAGAAACAAACACAATAAATGTTATGACAACAAAGCAGACAGGTCAAGATGAAAACGATAATTATTGCCTATTTCATGTAGTATTTAAACATGGCCAGGGTGAAGGGAGTATCTGCCATCAAACAAGAAGACAGCCGCATGTAGCTATGATGAGGTTTGCTAGTTCACCTTACATGCATTAATGTAATAACGTGGTTAGCCTACTCAACGTAAATTACACACGAACAACATTAAGCTACTCACGCAGAGAAGAACGGCTGCTGCTGCATCAATATCCTCATCATTTCTGCTACACTGGCAGGGCTAGGGGCCAGGACTCTCCTCTTCGGGGTTTTTTGGGGGATATTGCTAACTCCGGGTCCGATAACAGGCAACCCACCCGCAGTAGATGCGCTCGGTGTGAGATCTCGCAGCAAGCTATCATATGGCGCATTTCTGGGCTTTTAAAAAAAACGCTATGCGTCGCCAGGTGTTTCATCGGATTTGAGTTGTTACCTCCTTTGACAGTATCACAGTATCAGCTTAAAGCACTTGTTGCTGCTGAGTTTGCATATTTTGCTGTGAAGTACAGCCAGACTTTTGACCGCTTCGCCTTGGACTTTTTTAATCTGTAGCTCTGCTCTAAAAGAACGTACGTACCTGGGCCCGCCTACTATCCTCGGAAACGTAAAATTATTGGCTAGAATCTAAAGTGTATCACAGCTCAGGAAAAAAAAGCACCGAAATAAAGCACCGAAATGTGCGCTGCTTTTTGGTCTGGTTACTACCGTTTATGTCAGAACCGGTGCCATCATGGCACCGGACACCGGTACCGATCCCTATTGGTGATATAGGTTACAAGCAAGTCTGGCGCTGAACAGAAATTGTCGCGCTATGCTCCTTTATTTATTGTGCATAAATAGTGAATTGTCCTGACACAATATTGCGTTTCGCTTCTGTTATTATGGTACATTGACAAAAACATATACTTTTATTCACAGGATAAAACAGGTTTTTTGTATCACTAATTGCCCAGTGCGATTACAACATACAATATTATTGTCACTGCTGCATTTCTGTGATGCTACCAGAAATTATTTCCACTGCTAATTAATTACCGTTGAGCTTAAAGGTCCTATTAATAAACGGTTAAGGAATCTGTATTTATGAAGACGATTTGTGAGACTGGTAAACTTACGATACGTACGATGGTCTTTCGTTCTACACGGTGCATTTCAAGGTCCTGCACCCATCCGTCGGTAAACTGTACCTGGGCTTGTTGCAGTGACCGGAAGTTACTAAACTTCATGAGTGTGTGCACTCACTCCAAGGACCGTATGATTATAAATATGCATATAAATATGCTAAAATGAGATAGTTGACTTCATCTAACTAGCAAATGTTTTCCAGGCTACGTTGGTGATGCAGTTTTTTTTAATATGTATGATATTTTTGTCATGCGATTTTAAAGCCGGTCCTACAACCGCATCCAAGAATAACATGCAGCTTATCTCAGAACTGTCGGTGAAAATTATTCTTGGAGCTAGGTTTAATTGAGCTGCATTCTAAAGAGGTGCAATTTCAAAATTTGTGTATATTTTCTAAGTTCACTATTTTGTCATGTGTTGAGAAAAACACAGATATAAAAATTACATGGTCTAATATTTACATTTAGCATAACTGCAACATTATTTTTTCGTTTTGTTTTTTTTTTAAAGACTCGAAAGGACTTGAAATTCAAAGTTTCAGACTTGTGACTTGACTCGGACTTTTACACCAGTGACTTGAGACTCGACTCTGACTTGCCTGACATTACTTGAGGCTTGACTTGTGACTTGAGGATAAAGACTTGAGACTGACTTGAGACTTGCAAAACAATGACTTGGTCCCACCTCTGGTGGATAGTTGTTTACAAACACTCAGAGACTCACCACTGGATCAGAGGTGTCCAACACCAGAGCTGCTTGTGAGCTGCTCCCAAAGTTTAAAGGAAAGAAACCAAACTGTAACGAACAGAAAAGTTTCAGACACTGTCGGGGAAGTTTCCTTTAAAAGCTTTTACAAAAGCGTTTAATGTGATAAAACCTTAAATTTTATTTTTGGTTTTCAGTGTTCATACAATTAATTTGAGGTAAAACATTAAAAAGTCACAGCAGTCAGATTTAACAATGTGATAAAGAAAAACACTCACACGAGGAAAATGTATCAAAAAATAGCGTTCCAAACGGTTCTGAATGGTTGGAAATTATTGACGAACATAATCCACATCAGCAGTGGAAGGTTGTAGAATTATGTTATAGTAAAATTGCTGTGCTCCCAGTGAATGCTCCACAACACAGTCGCCTCCAGTTTCAGGACTGAAAAAGCCGTTGAAACAGACGGTAACATTTCCAGATGTTATGTTCACCTGTGGAAAAATCAGAGACACAACGAGTCAAACATCAACATCGTTTGTGCTTTGAGTCATTTACAGCTGAACTGTTGGTGTCAGAGCTGCTCAGGTTTCAGTCAGAGCTCTCACTCTGCTTCAGGAAGCTGCATCAGGTGATGTCCACATACTCAGCATCACTGCAGAGGACATTAATGAGACTCTGAGCTTAAAGCCAGCTGCCCTCTGAGGGCCTGAACCCGTGAACAGAGAGTGTGTGACCTTCATTCACTGCTGATGTTCACTCAGTCTGCAAACATGATCTCTGCCACAGGTGGAGACTAAACAGCAACAGTGATGGAAACACAAAGATCTGCTAAAACATCAGGCTTCATCCTACTCACATAGAGCTTCTCGTACTGCTGTCCATAATACGTGATGGGACATGAGCTGATGTTGACCACTGAAGACTCATTGAATGTCTGCTGATAGGACCACTGAGCACCTGAAGACACAAAGACACATGAGAGCTGTGAGCTACAGTCTGTTAGCTGGTCGGACAAACAGGAAAAGCTGAAGGCTGAAAAACTGACTTCATGAATGGATTAAACAGCGTTTGTTCACCAATCAGTGTAAAGCTTTACTATGACATCATCAGTTAGCTGTCCTTGGAAACAAACATAACAGGAAACGACAGCTTGATAGACTTCTGGATACTGAAGGTAATAAAACTGCAAAGATGAGAAGTTCAATTGAAAAGAGCTTTTTGTTTTGCTTTATTGTTAAAGAATAATAAAAAAAAGATAAAACTTTGCTGACGATGTCAGATTATTTGTACTTAAAGCTTTCTTCATCGTCACTCTCATGTTTTTGTACTCGAGTATTTTGAGGACACTTGCAAAATGGCTGCCAGGTGTGTATGTTTACCTGTCAGTGCAATGAGAGCACACAGGCAGAGCAGAGGGCGGAGCATGTTGGAGAGGGCCAATCAGCTGACAGATCCCTGAAACACAAACACATTTTGAGAAAACTGCATGAAATTCTAACATTTATAGTCAGTTTATTTATACTTTAAACTTTTCTGTAAAGTTTAACTTCACAAACATAAAGTTGAAGCCTTCACCATCCAGAGAATAAAATGTGATCATGTGTTGTAAACCGGTTTGTATTAAGTTCACTTCATATGTGTTTTATGGATTTATCAAACCAAACATTATTTATTTTATGACTCACAGAGTTCAGTATTTGCCTCGAGCATAAACATGAACATGAGCTTTGTTTCTGTGGAAAACCAACCTGTGCTGTTTGTGATTCTGCTGAAAACAAGACAAAAATCAGTTATTGCAATTTGAAGTGTTTAATGTATCAAATTATACACAACACACACACAACTCTGTCACAGCAATGTTACAAAGAAACAGGGGTTGTTATTGATCATAAGTCAATGACCCTCTTAAGGCACGACCCCCACTGGCCTTTACATTCCTGGGACTCTCCACCATTTTGTTTCGGAACTGAAGAAGCTTCTTGGATGAGAAATGAAACCTCTTCAAGTAGCTTAAACAAGTCCAGTAACGTCTCTTTCCAAGCTCCTTAGACTACCATCAGTCGGATGGCTGAGATCCGTCAATATAAAAGTAATACTTCCTTTTTAAATTTTAAGAGTTCAAATGAGTAATTCGTTAAATATAAACAACACTTTTATTGAGAGAAATGAGTTTGATACAACACAACTTTCAGCAGATTTACAGGATATCCTGCAGGCGTATAAATGTAACAGCAAAGTCTGTTTTTGGATCTTAGCGTTACTCTGGATCAGGTTCATCGCCACATCACCCGACTTCTGGTACTGATACCACAACATCTAATATTAAAGTTCTTATAAATTATTTTAATATGATTGACAACAGACATCCTCAAATTTTCACACAAAGTATATAAACATTTAACAAACTGTTTCATGGAAGCACTGAGTTTCAACATGCACAACCAACCACTAAAGAGCCAGTACTGATGTACAGTATTAATGTTGAAGAGCATTTTCTCCTCTGAGACGTTCACATTTAATCCCGGCACATTTCAAGAGAAACTAAACCCCTGTTTAGTCCTCAGTGGTTGTTTGTTTCTAACAATACTGGAATCCACCAAAGGCAAAGGCCCGACTCAAACAGCAGACACACCCATTCTCTAGGACTAATCTGTCCGAAGGCTTAATGACTACCATTTTCAATCACTGTCACTGTCATCCTCCTCTTCCTCCTGTTCCTCTTCCTCCTTCTTCTCAGTTTCCTCTACAAGTCCTGAGAAGAAGTCATTGTCACCATGGGCCTTCTTGGTGAGAGACTTCATCCGACCGTTTTTCTTCTTTCTCTTGCGGTACTCATCGACAGTCGTGTTGGGTAAACTGGAAATATCCCAGAACTTTATGAGCTGGTCTTGGGCGCAGCTGACCAGGAAACGTGAGTCCCAAGACTTAGCGAGCTCTTCAATGGGTTCACCAACATGCTGCCCGATGCAGCCGATGACTCGGTTGGGAAGAAGGTTGATGGCTCTGATGGTGGAGAGACAGAGTGTGTTAGTAAGTTATATTGACAATCTGATGTCTGATGAGTCTTAACGAGTACCATTTGTTTATCAGCTTCAACATAAAACAACTCTGACTCAATGAAGTTTCACAGATGATCAGACAAACGTGTACTGACAACTTTACAGATGGTGTATACTGGTCACAAATGAGACCAATTTTTTTCCAATGGCACGACGGTGCGGCCAACTGTTCGAGTAACAAAAAAAAAAAAAAAAAAAAAAAAAGTCTTTGCAACTCTGAAAGTCTTCGTGTGGTCAACAGCAGACACACATTGTGCCCCTATCGTGGTCTAAGCCAATCAGAGATAGTCAGGGGAGGGACCTCTCTGATTGGTCGTGGTCCAGATATTCATGTAGTCGGCGTGTACGTTTGAAAGTGCAGGGTGGGCGGAGAGAGAGAGGTGAGTAACCTTAACCCACCAGTCTACCGTTGTTTACAGCGCTGTCGGCCACTGTGGGGTTTTTTTTTTTAACTTAAATGGACAAGAAAGCCTAATTTCTGCTGTTCAATACTGAAGACATTTAAACTTTTTAAAATTATGCAAAATTGCAGAACATTGTAGAATATTTTCAAGGTTATCTGCTATAAAAAGCCAGACCAGGAAAATCTCCTTCATGTTTTTCTGTGTTTTATTCTCAGTTACTTTCACACAAAGGCATCTGCTGTGATGTTCACACCTCTGATGAAGTCTCACATGTGTCAGTACTGATAAACGATCAGAATTATATTATTTCTGATTGTCTGAGGCTAAATTGAATCTAATCGGGACCTTGTGAATTGGAATTGAATGGATTATAGAAATCAGTGATGATACCCAGCCCTAGTGAGCAGCCTAGGCCTGAGAGAAGTGGATGTAGCTGTAATAGGAAAAGAACTATTGCTAACTTTTTTGTTAACTTAAGGCCTGATCAGTCTGAAATTCACAGCCACTGCTCTGACACAGAGCCATCAACCTCTGAACGCTGAAAAAGCCCAGTGTATCCAGAGAACACTATATGTTGTGGTAAATGCACTGCCCAAGTGTCCCTCTCCCCACTGCCTTTCAGCAACAGCAGCAAACAGAGGAGGCCGATGTGATGATTAAGTTTAAGATTTTCTACAATATTGCCAAAGAATACCAAAGCACTTTAAGCACAAGCACAAGATTGTTAGTTAATCATTCACAAATCAATATTGTCTGTATTGACATCAATTTCCCCCCCAAAAATGTGCACATGTAAAACTGCGGTGTTGAGCAATGTGGTTGAAA